TATGTGAGCATGCATTTTGTGTATGAGGGAAAGAACTATAACGGTGTGCGTGCTGATTTTCACAATAAACTTTAAACCAAAAAAAAAAAAGAAAATCAACAGCATAATTGCTAACTGCAGCTATTCATCTGGCAAACAACAAATTTTCCCCTGCAAACGAGTGAGCCTGCGCACAACAAAAAAAGATTCACTCGAAAAAATTGTGGAGAAATTTGTACGAGGGGGTTTGCAAAAGTTCGGTTAGTTAGCCAGAAAAAAATAAAAAAAAGTCCTCTTTTTATTAACCTTGGTCCTTTTTCAACTCCTCCAAATAATCGCCATTGATTTCAGTGCATTTCTCAAGCCTATAGATCCACTTCTGAAAACAGGTTTATAATATTGTTTTTTAAGTTTATAAAATACAATATTAACCGCATTAATTATCACCCCTATGCCTTTAACTTTTTTAAAAAACCAGAAATTACAAGGTGCTATACCCGGGAAATATGGTGTTGGACGTAATTCTTCGATCACAGAGATCACAATAAAATTACTCGTTATTTCAGCAGTGTGGGAGGGATGGCGCGTTGTCGTGATGTAAAAAGCAGCGCCGAAAATCCGCTTCCTTTCTGTTTTCCAACAAATTTTTGAAAGCTTCTGGCAAGCACGCTTCTGTGTACCATTTTGTAGTTACTGCCCCACCCTTTTCCTGTGGAATAGCAGCTACGATTTTAGAACGAGTGAAGTAAACTGAAATCACTACTTTTGTTAATGATTTTTGTTGCTTAGATTTTTCGGATGGGCTCTATACCATGGACCAGTAGCAATTTTACTAAAGTTGCTAGACTGACCATTTTTGAATTTGTTTAGACAAAATTGAGCAAAATGCACTCGAGCCTGTTTTTGGGCCTCATTTAAAATTCGTGGTACCCATCGAGCAGATTTCTTCGTGTATCCCAGATGTTTATTTAAAATTCCCGATGCAACCATGGCATTCAAGCCCAGTTCATTAGCAATTATTTCTTATGTCAATCGTGGGTCTTCATCAAAATTGGACTTCATCAGATCTACAGTGACATCTTCTACGAAAAAATATCCGGTCTGGCATCTTCAGAATTACTTAGAAATAGTCTTTGAAGAAGGTGCCATCGTTCAATTTCAATTTCATTATTATTCAATTTGGCAATATTGGCTGCGAATTACGCCGAAATCTGAAGAAATTACATGGCGGTTTTCCGTTTACCTTGGTGGTGGAATTTCGTCTGACCTATCCATAGCTATTTCCTTGCCTTTTCTCGTCTCCGTTTTAGTCAATCGTTCTAAAATTTCAAAGGAAGGCTAATAAAGTAATTGCAAGGGATTCGATATTTTTAGATTTAACAAAAACAAATTGAAAATCACAAACGGACCGAACTTTTGTTAATCGCCTCGTACATACAAACATATCAATCAACGCTTGGCGGCAGTATTTATGCGCTTGAAGCAACACTGGCACGCAGCTTCCTTGATTTGCATTGCTCTATATGTATGTATGTATGTATGTATGCATGTATGTATGTATGTATGTATGTATGTATGCATGTATGTATGTATGTATGTATGTATGTATGTATGTATGTATGTATGTATGTATGTATGAATGTATATACTTATTTTCCTCTTTTCATATTAATGCTCAACTTCATCATTCTCACCGTATATGGTGTTTGGTGATATCTGTGAGATGAGTAAATAAAAAATAAAATAATTAAAATAAATATAAATTTCCACATGCACACCTACATGCATACATACATACATATGTACATGCAGTGATATGAATGCACTTTTCACCGCCGTTTGTTGTATTTTTGTATGCCAGCAGCTTTTGATGTTGTTCGCTGGTTGACTGTGATGATTATGATGATGATGATGATCATAATGATGATGAAGATGATGGATAGCTGCTCATCAGCAATAACCAACAGTAACGTGTCAACAACTGGTTTGTCTTGATGATAAATTGTCACCATTAAAGTAAAAAAGAAATTCTCTTTATAACAAAAACAACAACAGCAGTAACAACTGTAGCCGGAAAATCATCAAGTGCAACGCGAATAAATGAAATGCAGGCAAGAAGACGGGTAAAAAAAAGTTGAAGAAAAAGTGCACAAAAAGCCCAGAAATAGATTTGTACAAAAGAAGTAAAGCTTCATAATATGCTTATGTAGACAGCGGTATATATGTAGGCATGCACATATGAATATGTGTCAACCGATAGCTGGCACCTTTTTCTCAACCACAAACTACTCACAGCCATTTTGCTGTGTACTTTTTTAAAGCAACTACTTTTTTCACATGCTTGATATGTTTGTATGTACGAGGGGATTACATATATACATATTAACTCGAAATGAAAATATCATTCACATGCATATAGTGACACGTTTTCTAGCCTTGAACTAATTTTATGTAGGTATGCACTTGCCCGTTATGGCACAATCGCGTTTACCCTGCTAGTGGCGCATCTTCTGTGGAACAGGTGTCATCTCCTGCTGTTTGTAGCGCGAAAAAAGCGAAAATGGTACACTTTTTCCTTGTGGTCTACATTTCCAGCTTACGGCATATAGCACATTCCGTTTATTTTTACTACATACATACATACATACATACATTTTGAAAGGCTGCACTCATGCTCATTATGACCTCAATGGCAATTATGTATTTATAAAGACATCTTCAGTGCTTGCGGCGCGCACTTAAAGCAGCAAATGGAGCGTTCAGAAAACCGTTCGAACTACGCGGATCTATCGATTGGTAATGAATTGTTGTAATTATGGTTGCGTGTGTTTTTGAGGGAAACTCATTTGGAGCGCGGTTATAGTGACGATACAAATGATTATTATTAAATTTTTGGTTTATAGTTTTGTATGTAATACCCACTAGATGTATGAAAAAATGGAGTGTTGCCACCAGTTTGATAGGATGGAAAAGGGTAGGTCCATGAGAAATATACTATATCGGCCATTCATCGTGTCGTAAATTTGAGATCAGATATTGTGCTGGCTTTTGCCATCGTAGATGAACGTCTCACCACAATCCGGTTCAAACTGAAATTCGTCAACATATCGGAAGAGAAGAATGAGGCGAGCAAGCACGTCTCTTACGTAGAAGCGCAGCCGCACCACTATGTAATAATCATTCCCACTCGGTATCAAACAACTATGGAACGGCATTTTGAGCTTCTTACGTAAAGCTGCAAACGAAACTTTTGGTTTTCGCAAAGATCAAAAGAAGAGCTAGTACGATAAGAATAAGTGTCGCTTTAACTCGCCAGATTGCGATCGACCACAACATGTGCGGGATGGGAAAGATACCGAGAACTGAAATGCGAAGCAATGTGCATGCGCAGACCCAACAGGAAAGGGTCTGAGATGTATGAGTTGAAGAGCTTAAGAAGAAGAGAAGCCAACAGCCGATAAGAGAATGCGCCGACTTGCAGAAGATTGCAAGACCGGGGCAAACTCTTTTAGGACCCGCTTAACTACCGTGAAAGTGAAATATGAGAAAATTCGAATGCCAATTGCCCATCTGAAGAACAGCAAAGCGGCGGTATTCGATTGATAACTGGCCGAACTATTGTTGTTGTTGTAGCCTCAAAAATATTCCCCAAAGTAATTTTTGGGGAAAGCTGGGGAGTGATAGCCCGTAATGAGGACCCGACTGTCGCGAGAACTTTTGTGAACTTTATCGCGAGAAAATTCTCCCCCCTTTACTCTTTACCCAAGACGGGCCTATTCAAATGCAACAGTTAAGAACTGAAAAGGTGTATATATCAACGGTTATGTGAATTGACGTTGAGCATTAACCAAAGCTCCATCAGTATGCACGGCGCGAGTTTTCTTTCACCAGGCTGGGTAACGGCTGGGTAAGGAAGCGATGTGAATGGACTGGTAGTGAATGAGGACAAAACAAAATATCTTCTCTCATGAAACAAACAGTCAAGGCCAATAGGAAGCCAATACTTCCACGTGACCGTTGGTAGTAATTTCTATGAAGTCCTCGTATATACTTTTGCCTATTCTTGAATCAGCATCAGCATCTTGAATCAATATCTGTCTAGAAATTCAACGCGGAATCACTCCTGTCAACAAGTGAAACTTTGGGCTGAGCCGGCTGGACTAATAAAGGCCAAACTCTACAAGTAAAAAGTATGGATGATGACAACAACTGATGAGTCGGCATTAGGAGTTATCGAGAGAAAAATTTTCCGTTTTATTTATGATCCTTCGGCATTGGTGACGGCTAATAATGCGGACGATGGAACGGCGTGTTGTACGATATACGAGGCCTTTACATAATTCTGCTGGTCAAGAGTCAGCTGGCGAGGTCATGTGGTTCGGATCGACAATGGGACTTAAGTTTTGAAAGTTTTCAATGCAGTTCCCGCCGCGCGGGAGCAAAGAAGGAACAAGACCTTCACTCCGTTGGAAAGACCAGGTAGAGCAGGACCTGGATGTACTTGATATTTCCAATTGGCGGCAAACAGCGAAGGGAGGAAACAAGTAGCAAAATGTTGTGTTAAGTGAACAATGCACTTCTTGAGCTGCGAGCACTGGGATGTGGTTTAGAGACCTATTTGAAATACTGCCGGCTGGTGTCCTGGATTTGCGATGTAATCGGAGTTTCTACTATTTAGATCACTGCTTCTGAATTTTATCCCAATAGAAACTTCGCCACATTCATTTCTTCCAGGGGTAATAAGACAGAACCAAGCGCGTTAGGTATTAGAGTAGCGAACCTTTCGTGGGTTAGGCTTCCAAGTCGGTGTTGCATTTTTCAAACGAAACTGGCGGCATTCAAGGATGACTTTGATTGCCATTTTGATTATGTCTGGACAAATGCAGCCTTTCGTTGGGCCAATGAGACTTATTTGAGCCATATTAGAGCATACGCAGTTTTATTATTTGAGAGATTTCTAGAACACCTCCTCCTGGTTTCCATAAATTAAAAAAAATATTTTTTTTTCTTTTCTCTTTCAGATTGCGCTCACAGATGACGTGGACGTGGTTAAGGCCATCACCGGTACTGAAGAAATTTCCGAGCATGACAATGAAGTGGATCAGGTGGCGCTGGAATCGGAAGCCGAGCCGCAACAGCCACCAAAAGTTTTATACCAGCACAACATCCAACAACAACAGCCTGGACCTGCACGAAGTAAGTGAAAGCTCGACATTCAAAATTAATATGTAATTAACACTCAACCACCCACTCGATTAGGCAATCATCAGAGCATACCATTGAGTCTTGGTCAACCCTTCGGACCGCCACCGCCTCCAGCACAGCTGGCTTACCAGGGACCGCCGCCACCATTGCCGCCACAACGGCCGCCACCACAACAAGTGCATGTGCCGCAGCCGTTGCCCGATTTGAGTGTTGGCGCCTCAAGCAACAATGAAATTTGGTCTTCACCCGTGCAGGATATGCCGAAGATAATCTCGTTGGATGTTAAGTGCGAGAAGAATGGCATGAAAGTGTTTGTTAAATTTGATAAGCCCTTCTATGGTATCGTCTTCTCGAAGGGGCACTACAGCAACATGAATTGTGTGCATTTGCCATCCGGTTTGGGGCGCACTTCGGCCACCTTCGATATTGGTTTGCATGAGTGCGGCACATCGGGTAACACCGAGAACGGTTTGTACGGCTATGGCCATGAGTCTGGTTCGGGCACATATTTTGAGAATATCATTGTCATACAATACGATCCACAAGTGCAGGAGGTGTGGGATCAAGCACGTAAACTGCGTTGCACCTGGCACGATCAGTATGAGAAGAGTGTAACATTCCGGCCGTTCCCTGTTGATATGTTGGATGTAGTGCGCGCCGATTTTGCTGGCGATAATGTCGGTTGTTGGATGCAGATACAGGTGGGTAAGGGACCGTGGGCGTCCGAGGTGTCGGGGCTTGTGAAGATCGGACAAACAATGACTATGGTATTGGCCATTAAGGATGATGACTCCAAATTCGATATGCTTGTGCGCAACTGTGTCGCGCATGATGGCAAGCGCGCGCCCATACAATTGGTAGATCAACGCGGTTGCGTAACGCGGCCGAAATTGATGTCGCGCTTCACGAAAATTAAGAACTTTGGTGCTTCCGCATCAGTACTCTCTTATGCGCACTTCCAAGCATTCAAATTCCCCGACTCCATGGAGGTACACTTCCAATGCACAATACAAATCTGTCGTTACCAGTGTCCCGATCAGTGTTCTGAGCCGAATCTGCAAGAAGTGCACCATCTACAAGTCGGTCCAGAGTCACAATATGGACCACCACCACCACAACTGCACGTCGACACGTATCATGTGAGCAGCGGTATTGGCAAGCGACGCGATGAGCGTCGCGTACAACGTCGCACACGTGCTGTGGATAACGAGCCGGAAGTGGGTCTTAATCGGATTATCAAAGTCGTTTCATCGGGTGATCTCACCTTTGCCATTGACGATCAGGCGAACAGCACCGCATCAGCCGCACCACAAACGATGGTCTTCCCCGCGCGTGAAGATGGACTCATTTGCATGACGACGCCCGGCTTTGCGATCACTTTGATTATATTACTTGGCATACTCATAACTTCCTGTCTCATATCAGCGGTGCTATATGTACGTTTGCGACCGTTCTCCTCATTTACACATGCGGAGAAAGAGCGTGCTGTTGCCTACACGAATCCACAATTAGCTGGCGCTATGCCTGTCATTCAAATACCAGGACCACCGCCCAGTGTGGGCCAAGGTACGCTGACCAAATCGCGAACGCATACATGAAGCTGAGAAGGGAGAAAGAAATGAGTACACAGCAACGGCAAATGGATTGGACTCGGCTTAACGAGATGTGTCTTCGACAGATAGGAAATCATGCGCGAATTATAGGAGGCGAGCGTGCCGAACAATGCGCTCTAGTTGCCGCTCTAGCCGCCGGCTACACAAAGCAAACACAATAGTCTTCTTTCGTTTGGAAACGCCTTCCGGGGCAGATTGTTAATTAAGATAAGGTCTGAAGACCGCATAGAGGTTAATATAATTTTATTATTTAGTTCAAATATTTATTTTTCAACGCTTTTAAAAAGTTCAATATATGTATGTAAATGTTTGATTGTTCGAAAGTGAGGAATCAGAATATTTGTTTGTTAAAATTGAGAATTTTTCGACGAGCCTATCGAGTCTGTTTGGGCCTTCTGTATTGGTGGCAGTTTAGAGTGTAAAATTTTAGTTGTAATGTTGATAAATATACAAATAATTGTTTAGTTTTTATGTTTAATTTAAGTAAAATAACTATATTAACAGTATAAAAGTGTATACAAGAGTATGAGAAACCCGGTGCTAAGCCATATTCGAAGTTCAAATGCATCCAGTGACCTTTGCGTAAAGGCTATATTGTTTTTTAGTAGATGTTTTTGCTTTACAGTAGTCTTTTGAAATGTTGATACTTAAAACCGATAAATTAAGTGGCAAATTAATCAATTCAGCAACAATTTTCTTAACTCAGCCAATTTTTGTATAATTGGTTTGAGTAAATAAGCCGAAATTTATAAAATTCAGCGCCAAAAAATTCTATTTCAACGTTAATACTTAAAAATATCAAATTCAGCTACGATTTGTTCAATTCAGCAAAAAAATGCATAACTCAGCTTACACATGTATAAATGGTTTGAATGATTACTGCCTACTCAGCTGAAGTATATTCAATTCAGCACTATATTCTGATAATGCAACTTTAAAATTAAAAATTCTGCCGCGCTTTGTTCAATTCAGCTAGAAAAAAATTAACTTAGTATCCATATTCGGCATAGAGAATTGTTCTATTATTAGCTCAGTCAACATACTCGTATGTATAATTGGTTTGAGCCGAGATTTGTAAAATTCAGCGCCAAGAAATTCCATTTCAACCTTAAAGTTTAAATAATTCAGCAAAAAACTTCTTAACTCAGCTTACACAAATATTATTGGTTGGAGTGGTAAATACCGAAGTTTATTCCATTCAGCTTTTTATTCTAATATAGCAACTTTAAAATTGCAAATTCAGCTGCGATATGTTTAATTCAGCAAAGATTTTTTTAGCACAGCATGTGTATGTAGCCTCGGCTCAGTGAAAAATGTTTATCCAGCGCAAATAAATTCTGTTTAAATTAAATTGCAACTTAAAAATTACAAATTCATCTGTAATTTAATAAATTCAGCAACTTAACATTTTTATAACTTACAATTTAATGCAATTTAGCTTGGCAAAAATTGATTCAGCTCTAAAGAATTAAAAAAAAAATAGAAATGAAAAATTACAAATTCATACAGCAAAAGCTTTATTATATTCAGCTTATGCATGTAAATTCGAATCAGTAAAAATGCTCGTTCTGCTATATTTCATCTAATTTTGGTTAGTGGAAATCAATTCAGCGCATTAAAACTCTATGCTGACATCAAAAAAACTTAAACGAAAGTAAATATTAATAAATCAGATGCGATTTATTCAATTCAGCACATTTTTTTAACTCTACTTTTGTATGTTTTTTCAGTAATGTTTATTCAATTCAACTAGGTGAAAGTCAATTTAGCACAAACATTAACAGTATTCATTATTCTGCGCAATATTTTAGCCAATTTTCTACAGCTTATATCTCAAAAATTTCGCATATTTAAAACAATTTACGGTAATTAAAATTTCTAAATTACACTCAGAACACATTTTTCTTTGCTGAATATGTATTCAGCTCGCTTTTAAAGAATTCAGCGCTATCCTAACGATTAACTTTAAACGAAAATATATAAAGATATATGAAACATTGCTATAATTCAATATGACTCAATACTGTTTTTTGTTTAGTACTTTTATAACGCCATTTACCTCTTTTATATAATGCTTTACATTTTTGTCTACTTTGTTTTATATAAACTTTAATGTATTAATATTTTTGTAGACTTGATAAAAAAACAGAAAATAAATGAATAAAAATAGAAAACAACACTTAAACAAAAATCAAAACAGTAAATGAAAATTGCAAACACACAGCAAGCAAATACAAATACAAAGTTATTTAATATATAATTACTAAAATATAAAAAGCTTGAATTAGTCACTAAATATCTTAAGTGCGTTCATTAGGCTAACTACAAACATTAATTATTTATATAGTATAAAGAAATGAAATATTATATTTTTAAACTATTAATAAACAATCAAAACAATTGGATAAGTTAAGCAAAATAAGTAGATTAATTATACAAAAAAAAAAAATATATTTATTTATATTTATGTTTATAACCTTAAAATTTTGCTTTTATATCTTCTTGTTATTTCTACGACTGAAAATCTTTTTGCAAACGTTAATTATCCACAAGTAGTTAATTTAATGTTAAAATATTTATTAATATATTTATTTGTGTAATTTATTCATTTATTTAAATGAAATTTTGAATGTACAATTTTTATTATAAAAATAAATTTGTATTTATACACGTACATATATACTTATTTATTTGTTATCTTGCAAGAAAATTCAATAAATAAATATTTTCCTTAAAATGTGTAATATTTGCAAAAATTCTTTCGAAAATATGCAGAAAAGTAGAAAATGGGATTAATATTTACTTACACAAGAAGAATGGGAAAAAGAAATGATTAAAACAAAAGAACTAAAAGCAACGCTCGAAAATTAATGCTCAATCAACACTATTTATATTGTTTTTGCACAATCAAATTAATTTCAAATTCAAATTCTTCAAAATTAGTAAGTATGTATTAGTGAGCACCAAAACGATTCAAAATAATGGAAAAATTGTAAGTGACAGCTTACCAAGGCCCCATGCCGGCCATCGAACCATGAATTCCGTACCATGAAACAAGCTGCTGCACAAACACAAGTCACTTAACCCGTTGCTGAACCAATCAATATTATAAATTTTTCTCAACCGATTCAGACTGACAGACTAATTCAGTTAAGCAGTCTTGCTGAAGCATTCTCAAAATATTTCGCACCCGCACAAATTTGATACTAAGGAATAGCACTAAAAATCGATGAATCGCACAAACAACCACTATTAAATAACTTATTACAACCACTTACACATAGATAATGTTCCTATTTTTCAATTCACAAATTAAATAATTAATTTTATTAATTTATATGCACATTGCGTTTAACAGACGAGATTTTATCTTTGGAAAGAGGAAACGGAATGAAAGGCTTTTAAAATGGTGGCGGAAGTTTGACAGATCGCAGGGTTGCAGTGGAGTATAACATTTGTATGCATATTTGATTTTGGTTTAATATTTAAACATTGCAAAAACAATTTAGAGAGTATTATTTTTTCTTAGACTGCAATGAAATAAAACGAATTCTTATCAAATCTCTGGAAAGATCAGCCAGCTAAATATAAGTTCAGCCCAAAAGTATATTACGACTTTATACAATGTAACATTTGCGCACACTGCATTATCGGCGTGACTGTCTACATATGTGTCGATAACGCTGCTTTGGTATTTTCAAAGAAGGCTTCTCGTTGAATGAAAACGTTTAATTCATTTGCAGAAACACTACATTTAACTTTAATTGTTTTATGTCTTCTATGTTTTGTTTTTGAATCTCACACAAAAACAGACATACGTATGTACATATGTGAATTGGGAAAACTTAAGTCCGCCCTTCACACAATATCAGGGTAATCAAGAATTCGATTTACGTTCTTTTTGCTGTTAAGAATGAAATGTTACTTCTCAAATCTTAACACAATTTTGCTGTGAGGATTAAATCCAAATAACTCATGTATACAAATATTATACTCTGCTGCAACCCTGTGATCTGTCAAACTTCCGCCGCCATTTTAAAAGCCTTTCATTCCGTTTCCTTTTTCCAAAGATAAAAACTCGTCTGCTATTAGTACTGTGCATATAAATTAATAAAATGAATTTGTGAATTGGAAAATATAAACATTATCTGTGTGAAAGTGGTTATAATAAATTATTTAATAGTGGTTGTTTGTGCATTTCATGGATTTTTAGTGCTATTCTTTAGTATCAAATTTGGCCGAGTATAAAATGTAATGAGAATGCTTCAGCAATAGTGCTTAATTGAATCAGTCTGTGAAAGTTTATGGTTAAGAAAAATAAATAATATTGATTGGTTCAGCAACGGGTTAAGTGACTTGTGCTTGGGCAGCAGCTTGTTTCATGGCACGGAATTCATGGTTCGATGGCAGGCATGGGACAATGGTAAGCTGTCACTTACAATTTTTCCATTATTTTGAATCGTTTTGTTGCTCACTAATGCATACTTACTAATTTTGAAGAATTTTGAAATAAATTTGATTGTGCAAAAACAATTAAATAGTGTTGATTGAGCATTAATTTTCGAGCGTTGCTTTTAGTTCTTTTGGTTTAATCATTTCTTTTTCCCATTCTTCTTGTGTAGGTAAGTATTAATCCCATTTTCTACTTTTCTTCATATTTTCGAAAGAATTTATGCAAATATTACTCATTTTAAGGAAAATATTTGTTTATTGAACTTTCTTGTAGGATAATAAATAAATAAGTATATACATATGTGTATATGTGTTTTATTGAATAATAAATATTGTACATTCCAAATTTCATTTAAATAAATAAATAAATCTTATATTTAAAAACCTTGCCCGTATAATATTTTATGACATTCTTGAACTACTGCCGTATGCCGATGACATTACTTCTGCTCTATTCAGACTGAATAAGGAATCGAAGAGTATGGATCGGGTACTGAACTGTTCTTTCATCAAACTGTAGTCATTGTTGACTGTGGAGAGTCATAACTTTGAAGTCGTGGCAAATTTCGTTAAACTTGAAACGAGTACTAACACTAACAACAACAATGTCAGTTTTCCAACGAATAATTACTTTTGTCATTAGATGCTACTTTGGAGTGAGTAGGCAATTCGAAAGTAAAATCCTCTCTCTCTCACTCTCGGCGAATTAAAACCAAACTCTACACTCTCATTATGCAATATGGTGCGCAGACATGGACAATGACAACATCTGATGAGTCGGCGAATTGCGAATTGGGAACGGTGAACATGGCGGCCGATGGAACGGTGGGCTGTTCGATATGTACGGCGACATCTTCTTCAGTCGCCTCAGTTTTTTTTGACATTTTTACTATATTTATTTATTTATTTTTTCAATTAAAAACCAGCAAGAATTTTTTAATGTATTTTATTTATTACTTAATTTAATTAATTTGTCCATTCTCTTTTTTTTTGTAATCATAGTATTCAATTACAACTAACATATATAGTGTTTTTTTTTTTTAATAAATAATATAAACTGACTTAAGAATAAATTTATGCAAATCTTCATTTGTGTTGAACATTCATTAGTGTTGATTTAAATTTAAACAAATGAAAAACAAAACAAAATGCAAACAAAGTACATAAATGTAATTTTGACTTTTTAATTCACACTCTTTTTTCATATTTTCATTTTCGTTTCTAGTTGCTAAATTAATTTAATTTTAATTTATTTTCAATTTTCGCTTTAATGAATAAAAGATAATAAAATATTGCAATTTATGAGATTCAAAGCATTGCAATATAATAAACTTAAAATCTAAAGGCAAGGGAAGTAGATAAAAAGAAGAAGAAGAATAAAATAATAATTGAATAATATATTTTTTTTAAATCGATTAAAATAGAATTTTATAAATAATAGTGCGGATAGTTTACTAACTGATGTCTGTGTATATAAATAAACAATTAAATAAATGAATAAATAAATAAGTAAAAAAATAAGAATATAAATAAAAATAAATAAAAGTATGTAACTAAATAATTAAATAAATAAATGAGTAAATAAATAAATAAATAAATAAATAAATAAATAAATAAATAAATAAATAAATAAATAAATAAATAAATAAATAAATAAATAAATAAAAAAAATAAATAAATAAATATATGAATAAATAAATAAATAAATAAGAGATATATATTTATTAAAAAATTAAAATAATTAGTAATTACATAATTAAATAAATAATGTGAAACTAAGTTCAGTTGCATATAAATAATTAAGTTTTATTTAAAATAATTTTACTAGTTTGTAAATGCACCTAAAAGCACCGATTTATGCGCTATGCAAATGTACATACATATATGTAAATGTAAATAAATAAGAACTGCGCACAGTGCGAGTAAGTAGCTTTATATGTATGTATGTATGCGTATAAGTAATAGATACTTATGGACATATACAAATATTTTAGTAATTTGCTATTGCATTGCTGCCCGAAAATGTTCCCTACCAACTCCTGCCAGTGAAGAAAAGTAAAAAAAATTCAAACAATAACAAATACCAAATAAATAAATAAATAAAACTCAAAAAATAATTTTGCGATTTTTTCCAAACTTCTCACTTTCTCATGCGTCCATTCAGTCGTTGACACATAGCGCTTAAGGAGAAATTTTGCTACAACTAAAAAGGAGAATTTCCAAAAAATTCGGCATTTCACATCCTAGGCCTGCATCTCTTACCGCCTACTGTACCGTCTCGTGCGCGACCGCACTCGCTGCAGCTACAGCGCCACCGATTTGTTGCCGCTGCTGTTGTTCTTGCATATGTCGCATACGGAAGAGTCTCAAGGTCATCCACGAGGCGAACGTGCCCGGCGCCGGCATTGGTGTTTGCTTCTCGAGCGCCTCTTTTTGCAATTGATAACGATAGAGCAGCGAGCCGGCAATCAAAGCGGAGACAATAGTTGCCGAAATGACGACAATGAAGAGAATGCTGAAACCGGGCACGGGCATGCAAATGCCATATACCACCTCTTCGCTGATTTTGCCTTGAAAGACGGTGACCGCTTCCTGCTTAGAGTCGGGTGAGAAGGCAAGATCCGCTTCGGAGATGACATCGTAGAGACCGCTAACGCCAACATCAGCGCTACGTACTTTACGGTCGGCTATTACGATCGAACGTCGCCGGCGACGCGTTGTCTTTATTGGCTCATCAGCATCAGCGGTTTTGTTCGTTTTTTGTTTTAAATCGTCATCAGGTGTATCGAGATCGATGTGATCTTCACGTGTGCGTTTCAATGCTTCAGCTTGCGGTCTATACACTGGATGCACTGCGGCATCATCACTCGTCTTCGGTTCGAGTGAACGTGGTCCGGCCATTGGTACACCCATACGCTTTTGCGCCTCAAAGTGACGTGGTCCATGCGGGAATTTACCACTTTTCTTCAATTCCATATATTGTGCCTCGTCGAGATCGGCCAGTTCGTCTTCACCGAATAGCGAGTCGAGATCTGAGTCCTCTGGTTCTTCATGCACGGGACGTGGCGATAAATTGGCATTCTTTTCATGCATATTAAATTGATCCAAAATATTCGCAATGCCGCTGTTGATCGACGAAAGTTGTTTGCGATTGTGTATAATGTCATCGTAGAAGATATCATGTTCCACAGCGCCATCACCGCCCACACCAGCAACGCCTGCGCCACCCATACCGGCACCAGCACCACCACCACCCAGACCGCCCATCGGCATACCACCGAGCGCTGGTTGCTGCTGCTGCTGATGCTGCTGATGCTGTTGCTGTCCACCATGTAAGCCACCCAATCCGCCCAGTAGGTCTTGACCGAGTTCATTGTGATTACCCATCGGTTCGTTCATCAGCACATCCTTACGTTCATTCACACTGCCAGTGAGTTGACAATGATCGAGACAACCGTGTCGGCAAATTTCCACTTTACACTTAATATGCACACTCAGTGCGTCGGGGAATTTGAAGGCATGGAAGAAGGCGTAGGTGATGACTGTGGCACGCTCATCGGGCGCACGTGCCTTCAAGAAGCGGGAAATCATTTTCGGACGCAAAACGCAACCAAATTCATCCGAGAGATTGATAACATGTCCGGAACCATCGGAAGCTACGCACGACTTCACACGCATATCGAATTCACCTAGAATGATAAGAAAATGTATGTGAGATAAATTACACAAAAGACATGGTGAATTTAGATAAGAAGGAAGCGAGGGAGCATGAAAAGATTTCATTTGAAGTACACAAACATGCTGCAGCTATGACGATCGAAGAAAACTTTAAATTGAAATAATGACGGCTCTTAATACAGCGGGCTTTGTTATGCAGAATCAGAAGGGAGAAAACAGAGAGAAGAGAGAGAGAGAGAGAAAAAGTTAGTAATAGAATGATGTGAAAAATCAAGGGTTGTTTCAGTTAAGAATCTGAGATTTGGAAATGCTGAATGCTGAGAATAAGTTTTTAATTATGTCCATATAGTTCAGGATATCAAACAACCTATATATCCATACGGAACGCAATGAAGCTCCTTCTAACAACTCATCTGACGGATAAAGAGACACATTTATAAAGCCTAGGACTAGGATATATAGAAGACTTAAGTGCGGACGTTGGAAACTGATTCCAAAAATTGAAAGTAGTGGGTTTTCAGAGTTTGAAGTTGGACCTGTTAGCGTTTACAGTCAGAGAGTAGCTTAACTTAGCCTAGCCTGGGGTCAAAGGACAAGTTAGATCTCTCAGAAACCGAGTACGGTTGATGACCTGTCCAAATTTATCTGAATCAATTATTCTTAGCAAAATCAGCATGAGGCTTGGACTGTTTCACTGAGTAGCAGCCTTATCCGATTGTTCTTGGTGCTATTGCTAAAGATCGTCACTTCGAGAGTCATAAGCTTCTCATAAATTTATCCTCTACAAGGAAACCTATCAAGTGATATTTAGATAAGTAATAATAAAAATGAGTTCTTGGTCCCATCCATAACGACGGCTTACAAACTTAACTTATTGAGTGCTAAAGATGGAGCATAATTTCCATCTCACACGCAATGACCATAGACCAAACTATATGGGTCAGCTCTTTGAAATTTAAAGATGTAATGTAAGCGTAGAAAAGATAGAACTTACATTATGGGAACGATTACCATGGCTTTCATTCGATTTATTCGCAGAATCATACGCAATTGCAGAAATTAGTATAGATACCTAGACACAGAAAAAAGCGTAGGGGTTTCGCACTCTTCTCCCAACAAAATTGAAGAGTTTACACTATGAGAGAGTTATTCATCACATATGCAATTGGAAAATCTCAATGGCTCGAATGTGAACAAGATAGTGTGAGGCTCCCAAAGACTTAAGCAGGAGATGTAGAGGGAAGAAAGAACCTGAAACCGTGAGCTAATGCCTTTGACGAGTGCTCAACACCTTAGAAGATTATGTTGAAGCCACTAGTGGCGCCATCTTTAGACACTTGAGCGATTGGCACGCTGAATTGTCGATTTCTCAAACTCCACGCACGCGTTTAATGAGCAGTTGTGGCCTCCTATGGGTATTCTCAATGGTATCACAATGAGCTTGTTTGTTGGCCACAGTAAGCTGATGTCCAGCATGTTTTTCAATCAAACCTTGAGTTTACTCAATGACTCATGTGCCTCTGTATTGAGCGTCTGACGCTCATCACCTCTAACTAATCAACCAAACCAATTTCCACACAGTACTCGTAGAATACAATTGGCGCTTTTTGGCCATGAGTTGAGTTGAGCTAATGCGGTTGCTGATCAGAGCAACAAGCGCACTTAGTCCAACTTTCTCAGATGTACGAACCATTTCATGTGCCTTATGAAGCAGCAGTTACTACGTCAGCCAGGCAGTCAATGTGATGTTAAGGCTGGAAGGAGACAGAGGTAGTACTCAACGGACTCTTCCTTTCCTTTGCCATTGCAAAAGTATTCCATTTTCATACCGTGCAGTCAGTGAAGTGCTCTCTCGATAGCTCATCCGCCATACAGCTACCTGAGATTTCGCTATGTCCAGGCTCTTAAACAAAGTCTTTATTGCGTCTAGCTGAGAGCTTGTTTAAAGTGCTTCTGCATTTCAATCACATTTTTGTTGAAAAATTGAAAAGATCTGATGACATTTTGGTATATATTGATTGATTGGTTTGTAAGTAGAGACCCCAGCAACCATTCTGCGGCTTCCATGATTGCAATAAATTCTGCTTAGAAGACACTGCAATAGTCTGGTAGCCTCAAATTAAAATTGGTAGAGAGCGTTGATGAATGAACGCTAAAGCTTACCCTTCATCGTTGATAGCTATGCCACACTGAACCGATTCTTGTGTGGAAGAGATTGTTAAAACAATAAGGTGACAAAGCATTGTCTATCTCCGCTGGAAATCTGCGGGGAAGGCAATGTCTGGGCATGCTCTGTAACGCGATACCTCCAAGGCTGAGCGGCATCCAATCTAGTAGCATTGTAGCTGGCTTGAAATACACCATATAAATCCGGGGGAAAAACTAAAAAGAGTTTCTAAGGTGTGTGTGAATTCGACGGTAGAGCTCCAGTAATGAGAATAACTTCCAACCGATGAATTTATTCAGTCTTCTGAGAGTGGAGTGCCTGCTACCAGACACGTAGAATAGAATTAGTCTACCTTACCTGCTGCTGCATAGATCCAGCGCATCGTATTTTGGCCCCACCTGAGCTTACTATCTGCTTAGTAACCGCTGAAGCGATTTTTCGGCCGATTCCTTCAATTTGTGGGTTTTCGTCTTGATCTTATTCTAAAAAACGGAGGGACCTACAGTTTATACTAAGCCGCTTCCGTACGGCGGAAGGATTTTTACGAGGAGCCTTTATTTCATGTCCGAAATACACTCGGATACTTTACTTCTGTAGGCAGAGTGGTTTTCATGTCTTTTAGCCTAGGTGGATTCAAAGGAAGTGATTTAAATCTCCTTGTGAAAAGAACCATTTCGGCTAGCGCTGGATTAACCTATGGCCTATGTACCCACCACCAGGTTCCCACTATGTTTAGGGCATCTTAGTCCAACCGCTGCTGATGGGTTTTTATGAGGGGTTTTTATTTCAAGCCAAACACAGTGGCTGGGGTAGACATTACTGCCATTCTACTTACGAGTATTAGAAATCAAAAAATCAGTAAATAAATATAGTTTTTTTCTTTACTTTGGAGCCCGAACTATTCTTAATTGGGGGTTTCGGGAGTAAGAAATAGATTATCAGAGTAAAATTATGACCCGAATGGTTTAGACTTATCAGATTAATGTAGACGATGCTGCTATACTCGTCGATAGCTTGTAGTGTCAGACGAAATATAGAACGACCGACCACCTGTGCTCACGCATAGTTTAAGTATGAGCAGTAGGAAGAGAATTTTTGTAGGGGTCTAAGTACCTGTGACGTATTTCCCATAATAAATAGAATCCCAAATTAATAGGTACTGCGCCAAGCTAGCTCATGCCATCAGTAGCCGTTTATCGCTAACACAAAACATGACTAACGATGACTAAGAACGAAAAAAAAACGGAAAGTCTTTGACACCACATATCTTATCACCGGAAATTAGACTTGCTTTCGAGTTTACCAGAAAAACTACACCAAAAGTATGTAAACAAGTGTAATTGCATTGCCACTGCTGCTGATTACAATTAAAGTATATTTATAAGACCAATCAATGTACCGTTAAGTTAGTATCTCTCGTCATACACTGTCGGAAGGGTGTACGAGCGTTGCGTGTGTCATGAAGATCATCGGTTTTATTCTGTTAAGTGCCATCTACTTGGCGAAAGGCAATGCTGTAGGAGATTATAGTGAGAATCTGGTTGGCGAGCAGGAATTTCGCAAGAATGCAATCTTAAGCGAATATCTCTTTCAATATATACAAAACAACACCAAAAATTTGTTGAACAATTATGTCGCCACCGTTGAAGATCCATCAACTTTGCCTGAAATACAAAAGCCAACCGTAGATAATGACGGTGTGGAGAGTTTGAACAATAACGCGCCACAATTGCCAGCCAATACTGGAATGGTTAGCGATAAGGAGCCTCTAATAATGCCCCAATACGGAAACAACTTTTGGCCCGCTTCACTAACTATTGGGAACTCGATCTTTCGACCAAGACCACCGGTGCAAGCAAACAGTGAAGCTAATCAAGCTATTGTAACCATGCCCGCTATAAATGGTCCGAGTTTATTGAATTCATCTTTGGTGTATCCGCTAGAACCACCAAATGCCAGTAACGTCTTCGAAATGCCTGCTCTGCCATTACAAAGTGAGAGCTCAACAATTAAACTACCATCACCTCCAACACCAAAACCTACAGCTAATTCGAAATTTCCCGCACCGCCACCGCCAGCACCTCCAAACGGGTCTTCAACGACTTTGAAGCTTCCTGTACCACCACCATCGAAACCGTCTGCCGCTACGTCCGTCGAAGTTATCACACCACCATCGAGTAGCACCTCGAATCGGCCAGTGCCACCGAAAAGTGGTCTTGAAAGTCTTCTAACGCAATTGTCGCCTGAAATGTTGGAACAGCTTTTGGCGTATGTGAAAAACGGTTAATTGAATTTAATTTTTTTTTTGGGTAAAAAGAAGGCTCATTTAATTTCTTATGTCAAAATTAGCGTTTCTTCAAAATGACAATTTTTCAAATGTGTTTTATTTAAAAGTTTTTAAAAGTTTTCGAATAAAAATTTCAGCTTCAAATTTTTTAAATAAATCTTTCTCTTTTTTGAAACATCAAGGAAGTGATGTTCGGTAAGTATCGTTGAAATGAGAGAGGCTCCGAAGACCATTGCCTTTCAGAACACTCAAAGTTAGTCGACTCTTTTTTGCCTCTTCTAAGAAGAGCTCGTGCATGGCCTAATTTGAAAAATATGGTTGGCACATAGCAATTTAGGTGGCATTGAATTGCGTTGGTTCGTAACCTAAGATCATTCCATCTGAGCATGCTTCAGCTGGTTCAGAAAAGAAAAGATTCCTACCGAGCTGCCCTGTTGATATGGATATATTAGTATTTCCTTGATTATAGTCATTTACGAATGAGAAATGCAACTCTCGTTAAGGAAGTCTAAAACTGGATAGATGCTTCGCACATCAACTCTTCCACTAATCACCAATTCATTCGGCTGATGCTCTCCTTTGGTATGCTTTTAAAACTGCCCCTCTGAGAATTAAGTTAGGTTAGATTATACCGGCTGCTTGTTACGCCTTAAAGAGAGCGACAGGTCTTTTATAGTGACGGATGGAGACTCAATTTAATGCGAGGCAAAGTGGTCATCACAGAGAAGGCCAATCATTACGATTTGTGTTGCTTAAAATACTTCGATGTCTAGTTTTGAAATTTTCCTTAGTCCTTATTTTCCAGTCCTCTCAACAACGCAGCTTCTACTTGCCTAAGACGAGTTAGATGCAGCGGTTGTTTTCCAACGCCTCACTTTGACCTGCTTTCCGTTAGCTCCTACATTTGTCACTGCTGCTAATGTTCTTTCTGCTTGCGTGTGTCGCCACTATCTTGAGGGTCGTCTTTAGGCTTGCAGCTCGCCTGCCTGGAAGGTCCACTCGAGACCGTGTAAGCAATATTTATGTATTGTTGTTGTTGTAACCGGCAAAATATTCCCCAAAATACTTTTTGGGGAATGCGGTAGTAGCGGTAGTGACAGTTCTTGACCGGATAAAAATCCGGGTCGTTCCGATATAAAGACCCGGCTGTCGCGAGAACAATTGGATTTTAATCATCTCTTAGGACAGGCATGCCTTACCGGAGGTAAATTCTTGAACCCCCAATCCGCAGGGGGTAGATTTACGTGTGCTTTCCTTCGCTGTCATAGCACATGTCCTTAGCGCTCGTGCATGCAGTTAAGCCATTCCATCTCTCCTTGATCACTTTTTGGACCTGCTTTCTGCATAAGAACATTTTCCGACGTAAGTCGATGCGAGTAAATTGACTTTAATGCAGCGTTGTTATTATTTTATAAGCTCTTCCTCAAATTTTTGGTATGGGTCTGGATATTTTTCCCAAAAAATTAGGGCACCTACAGTTTATCCAAAGCTGCCTCTGAACGGTTGATGGTTTTTTTTTATGAGGAGCCTTTATTTCATGCCAGAAATACACTCCGAAGGGTTGACATTCCCTGCCGAGGGGCGGCTCGAACCCTGGTCCTCCGAATGGAAGTAGGCAATGCTAACCACACGGCTTGTGCGGCTATATGTTGATGTTTTTCACGTGGTTGTCTGCGGTGTTGGCAAGCTCATCGGCCTTCATTACCTTCCGAACCTCAGCTTTGAAAATACTACAGTTATATAGAAGCTTGAAGGGTAGTCTGAGATCTAGTTCAATGCAATAGAATTCAGCACCCAATACATCAACGATGTCCGTTCCGTAGGTACAAGTGTATAAGCCATTCGACTACAAAGCTTTGCTTCCCAGATGAAGCTTGCGGTTAGGTGCTGATTCCTTTCACGCTTATTTCCACACTTTATAAGCTGAAATTTTTAATTCAAAAGTGTCGTCTTCAGCTGCTAAAAAAGACAACTGAACTGCATTTTATTGCTTTAATCCATGAAAGAAACTTGATAGCTCTGCGGCTCAACTAAACACAGCTCTTTCTTGATTACTTAGCACTTAAGAAAGACACAAATGAGACTCATTCACTTTAGACAACTCAGCGCCAGGCTCATTGATGTGGTTAATACATTTTATTGTAATTTCTTTGAAACATGATCTCGACCATGTGGTAGTCTTCCAGGAGGTCATAAATTTTTTTTATTAAAAATCGAATGATTGCGGCTTTAGGCGGCATAATCAAAAAAAAAAAAGAAAGAAAACGATACGAATGAAGGCTAGCAGCAACTATGTTGCAGCAAAGATTCCCTGATAAATTTAAATCAAAAGGTTTCAGTCTTCTTCTACTCTCTTTACAGTGCTTTCGTGTTATTTTCTTTTACATATAAACTCACCTCTATAATCATTGATGGCCACCACAAGCGTCAGTGTCGAACCCAATGGCACAATGCCGCTAACCGGTGGCGCCCATGGACCTTTGCCATGTTGTATCTCCATCCAACAGTCAACGTTATCGCCTTTGAGAAGAAGAAAATGATTTGGGAATTTATGAGAATTTTTTATTAATTTTATGTAAAAAATTGAAAAGTTAAAAGGAAAATATGTTTGCTTCAACCACATACCTCGGAAATCCAATTGTATTACATCCAAATCGGCAATAACCATTGGTGGTTTCGATGCGGTCTTCTCGTAGTCGTTAAACCATTCGCAACGCAAACGTTTCGCTTCATCCCAAACTTCAAGTAAATCTTTGTCATATTGCACAACCACCTGAATTTGGAATGGAACATATAAATGTAAGTAAGTGTAATTGGCCATAAATAAAAGTCTTTGAAGACTATGAAGATTATGAATAACGACATGAACGAGCTAAGCTAAGCAGACACATGAACTAATTCTCCGTTTATTAAATAGAATATAAAGAAGAGTTTGTGCGGGGATTACAATGCATGCACCAATTTCATGTAGAGGCCTCAATTCGAAAGGTCGCAGTTTGCTTCGCTATCAGACTTAAAGAGTTGAGATGTTGGAACCAAAAAAGGACAAATTAATATATTGAACCAACTCACAGCACCTTTAAAGCAATCAGACAACATGTTTCTTCCTCCATAGATTCTTAGAGATACTCACTCTCTAGACGGGAATGCAGTGGAGATTTAGTTGGATCTGAAAATCTCCACGAAATGGGGTCGGGCGTATACACTCTCTCTCTCTCTCTCTCTCTGTTGGATCTAAAAATCTTCACGGTATGGGGTAGGTTGGATAAACTCTCTCACTCTCTCTTTCTCTCTCTATAAGTCTATCTAACCCAGCTAGCATAATCGCAAGCAGTAAGCATATTCGTTTCTTCTATTCATGGCATACCAGTTCGCTCTCCAACTGATCCTTCCAATAGAGTGGAGGTTTTCCTTTTCCTCTGCTTCCACCAACGGGTACTGTATCGAATTTTTTTTTAAAGCTTAAGCGGTTTTAACCATTCGGACGACATGACTTAGCCAGTGTAGCCGCTGTCGTTTGTTTCGCTGAGATATTTCAAAGTAGCCGTTTAACTCGTATAGCTTATCCTTCCATCGCCTGCGGTATTTACTATTGCTATTGCGGAAAGTACCGTAAATCGTACACAAAACTTTTTGCTCGTAGACTTCCAAGACCGACTCATCGGATGTCTTCCTCGATTCTGCACTTTATAGTTGGATAGGAAGAATAAAGGACTTGTAGGGTTTGGTCTTCTTTCGTAGAGAGAGGACTTTACTTTTCTATTGCCGGCTCAATCTAAAGTAGCACCTGTTGACAAGAGTGATTCAACGTTGGATTTCAAATCTTACACTATTATTGGTGTAAATGCCGTTCCCTAGATAGGCGAAATTATTTACGACCTCGAAGTAGCGACTGTCAACAGTGATGTGGAAGTCGAACCGTAAGTGCTGCGTTGAGTTTTTGATGGTTCGTCTTGCCCTCGTTCACTACCAGACCCATTTGCTTCGCATCCGTGTCAAGCTTGGATGAGATAGAACTAACAGCGTAATTGTTAAAGCCTATGACATCAATGCCACAGGTCTTATCATAACCAGGTATAAAATCCAGTGTCTTCAAGAATTTCAGGAGAGTTTTTTGGCAGAGCTACACGACACCTCCGTAGTCTGGGTCCACAGCCATTGAAATGTTTTTGGTAACGGAAAACCCAAGAAGTTAAGTCGTTCGGGTGCTTCTCTTGAGGTAGCAGAAGCAGACTCAAATAGCAGAAGCAGACTCAATACCTTTTGCTTGGAGAGCACTTAGTAGAAGGTTAAAGGCCTACAGAATCGGCGCAAGACATATATACAGACCCTTTGAAGAGCATGCATTAGAAATATTTCTACCATAAATAATGTGATGAGGGAGAGGTTCGCGTCTTGGGCAGCACTCCTACTTACCTAGGTATCTACGTGCCAAATCTCATAGAATACGATACTTAAAGGTTTCTAATGATGGTACTTGTAACGTCTAATATAGATCGGTTCTTCAGTTCGATCAATTTGAATCAAAAATATACAAAGATTGTAGAAAATACGTCTTGTGACCATGACTCTTTGACCAAGTGCACTTTGACCTACTGGACCATTGTGTTTGCAATGTTAAAAAGGTCTGTTTAATGAAACTGACAAGATTGATGATACTTGCTGTAGACAGTATGGCAAGACAGCTGTAGGGTCTGCTGCATCTTTCTTGATATTTCCTCCACGTATCATGAGACAGTTGAGTCAAAACCTTGTAAAATAACTGGAATACAATAATGATGACGTTCGAGCGGCGATTGCCCATTTAAAGAACAACAAAGCGGGTGAAACTCATGGAGCTCCATGGTCTCTGCCAACTCCCAAAGGATTACTATTTTAAATATTGTATATAAAGTTCTAACAATCTCATTGTGTGAGAGGCTGAATCCCACCGTTAACAAACTGATTTGATTCTATCAGAGTGGCAGATCCTGATAAAGCCACGCCGTTTTTTCATTGATTTTAAAGCTGTCTTCGACAGCACAGTCTGGTTTGGTATTCCTGCAAAACAACCGCTACGCTGGCCATGTCAAGTCGTCCGATTGGCTGAAAGCACTCCAGATTTAGAAAATATTTGATATATTACTTTCCCCTGGAGGCAGAGGAAGGGAAATACCTCCACTTCATTGGAAATATCAATTGGAGAGCGAACTGGTTTCTTTTGGTATTTTCAGACTTGGTATTTCACTAATCAGGGAAGAGAAGAAACAGATGGCGTTCTTGTAAAGAATATAACAGAATTGGAAATCAGCTCGGCAACGAAATTTGTGATTTTTTTCCACAGAAAAATTTTTGTGGAAAACCAGTAGAAAAATATATTGAGCTCATGTCGGAGAAATGGCTTGCGGGAGCATGTTTTAAGTGAGAGATATGTTGGTTATTGTGGGAATATTTATTCTCTCATATTCTATAGATTTTTTTCAGTAAAAAATCAAAGATTTTAAATTTCTTTCATTCTTTTTTTGATATTTAAAGAAATGGTGATGCTCGGTTTTTCGTCATCAGCTAGATAATACGTACATCTCCTTAAAGAATTCGGTCAATCTAGATACCCTCTCAAAGATTGTTTTTATCGTAAAAAGAAATATTTTCGACCACAAAGGAGTCTTACGAACTTATTCCTCATAAGGAAATAATGAATATTCCAACTCTTAGCTCTTGTAGATGAAAGGCGGATATTATTACCTGCCGTATGGGTTAAAGGAAAGGCTTCATTTCACAGCTCTAGGATTCTTTAATAACTTATTGAATGGCTGAGAGCGTTGAAAGAGGAGTCAAAACGAATCAGAATAACCGATTGATGCAGATAATCTGCAGTGATTTCAGTAGTGCTCTCTCTATTTATTATGATTCGGAGCACGCTATATGTGTTTCAACCCGAGGAGGCCAGTTAGAATGAGTAGTGGGTATCAGTTTGAATCGGGATAGCGTTCATAGGGTAATCTAACTACTCGGAGTTTGATGCAATCTGCAAACACGGATGACACTCGGTATGTGCTTTTAAGAGACCGTAGACATATGAGTATATAAATTTCAAAAAATAGTTTCCGCTTTCTGCTTGCAACCTTCTCGGCATGGTACCGACCTTTCGAAACCTTCGCATATATTCATCTCATTCAATTTTGGTATGCTCAAATCTCGCTTTTCATTTCATTATGCTCTTCATCACATCTCAACTCACCGTATTCTCATAAAATTGTCCATGCAAGTCCGGTTTTGTGCCGCAGCGTGAATATGATATCCGAAACGAGAAGAATGTTTTGCCCGTCGATGGCGGCACATAAACGCAACGCGGATCGCTGTGTTGTCCTGCCGTGCAAATAATTAATTGTTGTCAGTTAATAATTAACAATACATATACGTAAGTATATATGTATTATTATATGTACAATATATAAGAATTTAACATACCTTTTGAGCTGACGATACCCTCGAATGGATGGGAAAATGTCAAATGTACATCCATATGATCCTTACCGCACATCACTTCTAAAGAGACTATGTTTGGCATTCCCTCCGGCCGCTCCATGGGCCACAATTCATTACCAGCTAAGACTAAACTAAACTGAAAGGCGAAAAGAAAGAAAGAAATAATGAAAGAACAGAAAGAAGGCGAAAAAACGAAGTAAATTAAACAGAAGACATTAATACTTGTAAAATATGTAAATAAGAGGAGTCTTCTGTTTAATAAGAGGGTAACATCATTTAAATATATGTTAATACCGCTGTTGCAGCGAGGAAATAACAAACACCGTCTTGCTTAAACATACATACATACATACATACATATATATAAATAATTTTAATTAATATTATTCGCACGACTGCCGGCTGGCGCGGCAAGCAGATTCGCAAATGCAGACATTCAACCACACATTTGCCGCACTGAGCTTTGCCTCGGGAATACTCAACCCACTGACATGCCGGCATACCGACCCGACATTCAGGCATTCCGGCATTCAGCGGTCGGGCATTCAAACGCGCTCGCATTGTCTTTGTGTCAGCTTAAGTCGGCTGCTGCAGTTCGCACGTACTGCAGTCTACAACGGCGCTGACGGCGACATGCTGCCAGGTCGTCATATTACTGCTCCGCGTGAATGAATGTTAAGTGACTGGTGGCGTAGTGCTAGCTAGCGAGTGAATGAGTGAGTAGAAGACGACGAAGTCGAAGTCGCATAAGAAGAAAAAGAGTTCGCCAGCGAGTGTAATTCTTGGTGAATGTGGCAACTGTGTCTTGACCCAATTTCATTTGTTGCCTACCAACAACCTACCGCTGGCTTGCTTGTAATGCGCTCAATGCAACATTTTTGCTGCCTGATTATAAATTAAAAGAATATTATGCGCGTGTAATAGTGCAACTTTGCAAAAAATTACAAGAAAAAATTAAAAAAAAATCAAAAAAAAAATTAAAAACTGTGAAAACTCTGGGTCTGCCAGAAAAATGAGGGAAAATGACTTGGAAAAAAGTTATTTCTTTTTGCAACTTTGTATATTGGTATGAACTATTCGCAGCAGCTTCTTGACTTACTTCTGAGTTGCTACATTTGTTTTTGCTTTTTCATATATATATTATATCAACTCTCCTGTGCCACTACTATGCGTCTACTACTACTGCGTCTACTTCCATTAACTGGCGCTTTGCTCTTCAATATGTTTTGGCTTAAGGCTGCTGCCTGCCAACTATGCGATACATAGTTACAAAACTGCAGCCGGTCGAATGTGTTTGTTTAATTCATTTATAATTGCAAATGCAATTTTTATGTCAGATAGTCCAAGAGATTTCAGATAACCTCCGCAGTGTTCGCTTTTTTACTTTGTTCTGCCGCTTGCTGATTATAAATATGCACTTTTAGACCCATCTTTATCTTGTTTTCGGCACGGCTTGCGAATTTTATATCGCAAATGTTGCCAAAGGATCGGTTTTAATTGAAGTTAGAGTTGCAAGAAAACAATTGAACTTTTACTTTTTCAATTAAAATAATTTACTGGGTTGGGCAGGGTTCAAAATGAAATTAAAATAAAAAACATTGTGTACAAACAAAAAAAAATTAACAAAAATAACTAAAATATTCAAAAAGAAATATTTAATATTTTTATAACAAAAAAAAAAAAAAAAAAAATAATGATACAAATCCTGTATAAAAATACAATTAAATTATATAAATTGAAACAAAGTAAAACATAAAATGTAATGAAATAAAAAAATAAATAAAATAAAATATACCAAAACTAAATTAAAAAAAAAATAAAATGAAACTAAATAAATTCATTTTAAATTGAATTAAATTAAATTTAGTTTATTTAAGCTTAATATAATTTAATCTAATAATACAAACAAAAACAATAAAATAAAATAAAATAAAATAAATTAAAATAAAATAAAATAAAATAAAATAAAATAAAATAAAGTAAAAAAAAATTTTATAAAATATCATAAGATAAATACAAAAAAAATGTTGGTTTGCTGGCATACGAAAACAATAATAAAAGAAAAGAAAATTAAATAATATGAAATAATTAAAAAAAAAATAATAATAATTAATTAAAAAATTAAAATTAAATCAAAGTGCATCAAAATTTTCCGACATCCCCTATGATTGAAGATTATATTAGTTAAGGCATTTTTATGGTGGCCAATAATTGCAGAGTGAACCCTTTGATTAAATAGCACCGACCGCCTAACGTCGAACATCTGAAGAAAACGCTACCAAAGGACGTCAGAGTGTCGCAATTAAAGTATGATTTTTTTATTGATTTTCTCATGACAGTAATTTTCTAAGCCCCCTTTAAGAGTAAATACAATTAATAAGAGTCATCGAAGCCTCTTAATTGTGGACCAATGGCACATGCTGTTTAGGTAAGCTGTACTATCGACATCAAAAGGTCAACCGTCACGGTTCCCCGTGTGGTATTTTAACAGGTATAGGGTCCACTCATTTTTATCTCACCTCTCCTCCGCACGCATTCAGGCGCGGCATAATTTATAAAATTTTTCTGCAACTTCTGTGGTGCGGCTTTACCCGGATTAGCTACCTCATCTTGCATAAAAGTATTGGACTGTGTCTTACAGTTCAGATATTGTCCTCGTTCTAACTTAAATCCACGAAATACACATATATTATTCTCTACTCGGTAGGGGTATTTAATAATTGCCAGAAACACAGAAGTCACATAAATTCAACGGCCTGCGTTCGAAAGAGACCGTAGGTGAACTTTTGAGCTGGGTAGTCAAATGAAAGAAACTTTTGCTAAAAACATATCCAGAGATCCAGATCCAATGTATTAAGCTAGCTGTAGACTTTTTGTGAGAATCCTTGCCGAGGGGCGACCGATTTAGAATTAGGAATCAGTTCGAACTCATAATCCTCCGCATAGAAGAATATACAGCTTACCGCGGTCGCTCTTGTTATCCAGTTAGCCAGCTGTCGTAGCCTTTTTAAAACTGCACAAAGCAAAAGAAATTATCGAATTTTTTTCTCATTCTTCATATTAATGTCATAAATCCTAATTTAATAATTTCACAATTACTTTCAATTCTCTTGAAGAAGGAACAAATGCATTGATAACTTGCTACATTATCCTTCTCGTTTTCCTATAAGCCGCTGCTTGTTTCTGTGTGCCTCCTCACACCGCCCGTTTGTCTCCTCGTCCACGTCATACGCACACGCAGCAGCAGCAGGAGCAGCAGGAGCAGCAGCAGCAATAAATCCACATATGGCAAATGGTATGCAGGCAACAGCTGCTACAACATGCATAACTATTTGCAACAACAACAGCAACAGCAACAACGACAACACATACGAATGAGCAACTAAATAATGAAATTGCCAAATTAACATACTCGACACACTTGCCTTGGCCACTTTGCATGTTGGCCAATTTCATGTCAACTGAAATGTTGGCAGCAGGAAATACTGGATACTGAATGTGGCGGCGCACATGTACATGCACACACATACATACATATGTGAAGGCAGCCAAGCAACAAATGTGTACGACCGACAGCGGAGTCAGGAAGTTTGGACTGTTGCCTGCTTCGGCTACTCCACGCTCTGTTGCTGCGCGCACTTCATTCCTGTCACAGCCGTACAAAGCCAACAATTCATGTAGAACCGCATTGGAAATAGCAATGGCAGCAGCAATAACCACAACAATAAAAACAACAACAACAAAAGACCTGCAATATTGTCGCCGCTACAGTAGTAGCAAGCAATCAGTGCCAAGGAATTAAGCCAATCATTTGCTGGATTTTCAACAGCGTTAGCTTAATTGAACTTGAAGAGCGGCTGGCAGACTGGTTAACTCTGGGACTTGTTGGTTGGTTGGTTGGTTGCTTGCTTGGCGTTTTGCATGCAACCGGCTGCAGATTTCCTTCTTTTCAATTTTTTTCATTCTTTCGCTACTTTCGCACACGACTTTGGTTGTTCTTTGGGAGTGTTTGTGTGTGTGTGTTTTGTAGCAAAAAAGTAGCAACAATTCGATTTTATGTTATGTTGTTGCCATATTTTTGTAGACTTTATTTATAAACTAGTAGTATATTATACATATGTATGTATATATAATATATAATAGGCATGTGTGATGCCGTTCAGCTGTGTGTGTTTGTGCGCCTCTATGAGGAATTCCACCAAAACTTATTACCATAAAATAGTTGGCGAGAAAGACTAAGTGGTGCCAGCATGTCTCCCAATTAATTGTGTTGCATAGTTGTCGGCCTGGCGGCCACGGTAGCCGAGTGCTTAGCGTTGCGTACGGACATTCGGAAGGCTCGGGTTCACATCCCGTTGCCACCAACGTCCAAGATTTAACTTAATTTTTCTAATTGCGGACATCGGCAGGGAATGTCCCCCCCTCCGAGTGTATTGCGTACATGAAATAAAGGCTCCTCGTAGAAAAACCATCAGCCGTTCGTAGGCGGCGTACTATAAAATGTAGGTCCCTCCATTTCTTCGAAAAGCATCTAGACGCAAAACCACAAATGGGAGGAGGAGCTCGGCCGAAAAATCGCTTCAGCGATATCAAAGCGCCAATTATATGTATATAGTTGTTGGCCTATGTCTTTCAGGTGATGGACTCTCAAGGCAGTCGTCGTGGAACAAAATTATATACATATGTATATACATATCTCTTCTTCTTCATTTTTTCTTTTGGCATTATTTCCAACGCAGTTGGGATCTTCCTCTTTTTCTGTGTGCAACAACGGGTACTGCTTCGAATATGTTCAAATCCGAATTTGCTTTCTTCCATCTGGTCAACATGATCTAATGTAGCATAGCCGCGGCCTCATCATTCGCCAAACTACGTATGCCAATGTCACCCTCTAGGTCGTGCAACTCTTCGTTCGATTGACTGTTGTATTCGCCGCTGCAAAGGACTATAAATTTTTCGCTACAACTTTCTATCGAAGACTCCCAAGGCCTTCGACATCGATCACGTCGGTGAGGTTACCTGTTTCACTCAGCGAAGGGAAGCAGCCACAAGAAGTAATCTTGATTTGTAAAAATAATAGTTGTTGGAAACGAGCCAAGGGCTGAAGGATCCCGAAAACTACACGTATGTGCAAGGAAGTCTGATTCCAGCCTGCTGGTAGAGTCGACAACCCATGCCTTTAATGTAGATCTGATAGAGAACAACGTAATCTGTGAGTGTCCAGCTTTCGGCAAACATAGGTGTCATGCGCAGAGGACCAGCAATCGGTAATAAACCCAAAAAAGTGCCCAAAACGACTGTTTCAATTTGTAAAGAGAACAGCTGTGTTCATCTTAAATAGTGTAACAATAAGGCTTGGTCGTATGCAGTCAAACTGAGAACACTATGCAGGTAGTATCGTATAAGTGAGAGCAAGCAGTTTAACCCAGGGTCTAATTTCTATACAAGCGGACGAACAAATGATCATGATTACCAAAGTACTTGAAATGCATACAAATAATAATTATACACGGACTTGGGTGTAGGACATTTTCCTCCAACATAGCATATTTTTTTAATATTTTATATTGTTATGCCCAGATAGAAAAACCATCCGTTGGCTTTCGTAGACTGAGCAAAGTACCCACTTTTATTCCATATTCTGACTCTATCAGTACAAAAACAAAAAGTCTATTTGTAACACACATGGAGTTCTCTATTTGCTCTATGAACCAGAGTCTTCGGAGACTATTATAAGTCCCCGACCGTGTGCCTTTCATTGGTGTGCTTAAATGGTTTTTATCTTCTGGTTCCCAGTAGTAAAATCGCTTGATTAAAACCCGAGCGTACTCGATGAACAAAAGGAAATTTCAAAGATTTCGACTTTAGAACAAATATCGCTATTTACATCATTAGATCCTGCTATTTTAATAATATTGGCCGCTGGTTTTTATAAATGAACTATACGACTTGAGGGGACACCCGAGCTTCGCTTTCAGTGTGGAGTAGTTTTCAGTCGACAAGGAAAACGTTCTAGCTACAAACTTGAAAACGAATGTCTCGAAGTGCTAATTTGTGTTTTGGAAAGAGAAACTAGATGGCCGAAGTTATATGAGATGAATATAACGGTTGTTCGATGTTATTTGTTGAATTTTTCTTAAAAGATTTGTTTACGTTGATAGCTTCGCGAGTTCGTATGTTAACGTGGTGCAAAATCTATGAATTATATATATAATTGGCACCATGTAACCACTTAAGCGACTTCCGGCCGAACTCCTCCTCCAAATTTGTGATTGGAGGGAGGTGTTAAGATTCCCTGCCGAGGGGCGACCACAATTAGAAAATTTAACTTTATTTGATTTGTTTATTTTTATTTCATTTAATTTTTTATTTTATTTATTTATTTGGTTTTCGTTAATTTAATTCATTTCATTTTATATATTAGAAAATTTAGCTTAATTTTTTATTTAAATAAGTTTTCTATAAGTTTTTGGATGTTAGTGCGACACCAGGACTTGAACCCAAGCCTTCCGAATGGCCGTACACAATGTTAATCACTCGGCTATCGCTGCCGAAGTAATTTCTCTTTCGACGATTTGATCTCTCAAAAGCCGTATCACGCTCTATTAAGTTTCTTCCAGTTGACCCGTTGGCAAAAATTCTGGGCAAGAAATCAAGGTCAACTTCACCTTGATTTCTGATCAGCTTTGACATGACTTCCACGGCTTCGGCTCAGTTGAAAGACGTCGTTTTGTAGCTAAGTCTCAGATCGTACTCAATTTCAATGTAAGTAAGGACACTTAGAGGGACGATAGCCGATATTTATTTTTTAGATTTTATAATATTCTTGAGCGTCATTTTACCTGAGGTCTTGCTATAAAAGTCTAGTAGACTACTTATAACCCATATACACCCGCTTTACTACAGTGCAACAAAATTACGCAAAACCGTTGAAGGCGATAAGTAACTAAAATGGAGTCTAAGTATCTCCTATCGAAGACATAGAGTTGTGAGCTCCAACTAATCCTAGCGCAAGTAATCCCATTGAGTATATTTTAACAGATTCAATACTTCCCAAACAGCATATGTCGTAAGAAGTCATCTAACACCTCTCTTCGAATCTAAGGATACAGCGTGGTTCGTTTATCTCTTGTTAGAAGAACTCGATTATATTAATTACTTGAGATTTAACAAGCCGTTGAAAGAGCAATAGCAGTGATGATGCAGAAGTATATTTAAAATTAAATAATATGCTGTTACTAAAATATTAGAAAAACGATTATTCTTCCACTTACCATTAAATTTAAAATAAATATATGACTAAACCTAAGGTCCCACAATCTTGTAGGACCTTTTTGTGGGCTCCACATTTTGGAGCTGTGCGCTATGTCGTTGAATCTGTAAATAAAATAAATAAATATATTAAATTTTTTTTTTCAAATGTACTATATATTTACATATAGAAAATAAAAGGTAATTCTATAAAATAATATATACTTCCTCACAAAGTTTTTACCTCTGCCCGGAGGTTATTTCAGGCGAGTGTGAGCATATTTTACTTGCCCGTACTTTGGACTCAGCCCATATTAGGTTTGCTCATCATACATATATTTAACAAACTTCACGGCCTGACGAAACGAAACGAGTTAGCTATGTCTGTTTGACCCTACGTTCTTCCGCTTTTCCGTAACTGCGTGTATACAATAACTGAAGTATGGAATCACCTTAGCCGAGTGGCTAACATTGCGTCCTGCAATACGAAAGGTATGACCAACAAGATATAGAAAATTAATTTAAATACAAATTAAGTCAAATTTTTTAATTGCATTTGCCCCTCGGCAGGGAATGTCAAGCCCTCCGAGTGTATTTGTAACATGAAATAAAAGCTCCTCATAAAAAATCCATCAGCCGTTCGGAGTATATACAGTGGGTCACTTGTTGGACAAACTTCAAGGCACAAAACCACAAATTGGAGGACCAGTAACATATACGAGAATAAATGTGCAATTAAGATGAAATTTGTTAGGAACGATGGCACCGGTTGTTAAAATATGAGAGGTGGAAAGAATGTATGATGAACGTGGCACGACACATTTTTGAGACAGAAAACTAGACTAGACAGAATTCCATACAGTTTGTTACTTATAATTCTAAAGGTTTAGTTTAACACGGAATGATTATGGACGCAAATCGAACAGCAACACTACACTGTTATCTCGTATAACTATTCACCTCCGCTTGAGGCAAGATCGAATGATTAAGAGTTTAATCAAGAGAATGGAATCAAACAATGTTGTTATGCTGCTGTTAATGAAGAACAAAGTCCTTGCAGAGCCCATCGGAAACAGTCAAGAGATATACATATCCGGGTACATACTTATAGCTCTATATATAAGTCAGAGATAGAAGAAGAGTTCTTCTGAGAATAACCCAATAACCAAGATGGGTTCAAAATCAATGACTACAACTCTGCCTTCCCAGTAGAAATTTTCGTCACTACTCCAGCTGTTATAGAGGCAGCTCCACTTTAATGCGAAAATCTATTTGATTTATAGTAGACAGCCAAGCGGGAGTTAAGGCAAGTAAGTTTGTCAACCAGAGCTCTAGATTGATTATCGATCAATGTGAGCAACTCGATACTCTTACGTTGCTCAACTCCTCAAATTATGGTTTTAAAAATTTAAAATTTCCATTTTGTTTTTGAAAATTTCTTTAGTATTTTTCAATGACTTTTAATCTTTGCATAAATAAAATTAAAATTATAGAAGAAATCTCTGGGAAATTTTCAAATTTTTTACTACTACTCGCTCATCATTCCTGGCCTGCTATATGATCCGGAGGCATGGACGAAAGATAGAGCTTTTTCGAAAGAGAAAAAAAGTTTTGCGTAAGATTTATGGTCCTTTGCGCATTGGCAACAACGAATACCGCAGACGATGAAACGATGAGCTGTACGAGTTATACGGCGACATTAATATACAATAGCTCATCGAATCAAGAGACAACAGCTACCTTGGCTAGGTCATGTGGCCCGGATGGAAACACTCCAGCTTTCAAAGTATTCGATGCAGCACCCGTCGGTGAAGGCATCTGCGGCTGCGGTCTATAAGCTATTCTTGCACGTTCAACTTAAGGGTTTAATAGGTCTTGAAACTTCGAAAAACTCATTTTTTCGATAATTTTTTGTATAAAAGTGCGAAGGGTCAGGAATATTTTCGCCAAGTTTCAAGTTGATCGAGACGAAATTATAAAAATTAGAGAGTTTTATAGGCCGCTGTCTTTGTCATGGCTTGACCGAACGCGTTTTTCTTAAAACCATTTTAGCGAAATCGGTAGTCAAAATTTCTCAACGACTATTGAAGCGATCGAGTTCAAATTTTCCACACTTTCCACACTACTTCACGACACTGCCAGTGCTTTAACTTATAATATTTTTCATTTAAATTTTCATTGAATGTTGTCCATATATTGCACTTTTATATGTAAGCAAAATAAATTGTATACTTTATTTAGCATTTTTAAAAAAATTAGAGAAAATAAGCTTTTTTTTGGCCTTCAAGACCTATGTAACCCCTTAAATTCATTTTGAATATTATCCTCACATTGTGCGCACACAGGGTGGCAATTTTGACCCAGCTCCTCCTACAGTTTGTGGTCTGCATCTGAATGTTTCCTCAAAACAAATGGAGGGATCTAAAGTTTAAACTAAAGTTTAAATTTAGGAGCTTTTTTATTTCACTTCAAAAATACACTTGGAAGTACGTTTAGCCATAAATCAAAACCGTGACTGTCCGCAGGGTAGAAGGCAACGCTAACCGCGCGGCTAATGCGAGCATAAATGGGATTTTACATAACAAATACTTTAAAAATTTATATTTTTCAATTTTTTTATTTTTCCTAAAGAGATATAATTCTCGCACGTACTACTGGTTAAAGTATGTATGTTCAATATATGTATACAATGTTGATTTCCTTTCCTTCCTTTTCTAGAGCAGAGCAGAGCAGAGCCAGCCAGACACATTACGCCATGGCCTCTTTCACTTATTCCAATTATAAAATATTTTGTATTACTTAAATATGCTGAAGGAAATTCCAAATATGCCCATCATGTGGCACACAAACCTAGAAAACTCCCAAGTACATAGTACATAGTGGAGTTATTATACAAATGAGCTAACAGACATACAATACATACAAGCAAGTGGCTTTAAGATTTGACTATTATGTAGCTAATTTGCCACACTGACAGCGAGTAGGCAGTGAATACTCATTGAGTTTAATGAGTGCAGTACTCGAGAGTACTCACGCCTCCTGCGGCATACGCCCTGACACCCCTCCACTCTCACACACACATACGTACACACACATGCACAAGCGCGCCGACTTTGTATGTTTCCCTTAATGTTGACTTTTCATTGTTGCAGCATTCACCTACTAAACCCAGCAGCCAGCCAACAGTCAGTAGTCAGTAGTCAGTCAGCTACTTATAAAAGCAACTACAAAAACAACAGTAACACCAGCAAGAATAACAGTGAATACTTGAAATTGCAACGAATTTTAATGATCTTAACCCACTTTGACGTTAAGCAAAGTAAAGTGAATGAGAAGTTGTTTAAGCAGCGGTAACACTGTGGTGCGGGTGTAGGGATCGACGGTGGGTTGTAATGTTAGTGGCAGTTAAACAGTTGGGGTTTTGCAGCTACTGAGTTAGGTTGCTAATTTGAATGCGAGTAGTGTTGGACAGGCGACAGCAAAGTTCAAGGAGGCGAGGAGATTCAAAAGCAGGGGGAGAGGCTTTGTTTTGATGGCGAGGTGTGTGGTGTGGGGTACAAAGTAAAATTTTGTATCACTCTCGACTGGGTGTAGGTGTGTGTTGGTATGTTTATATGTAGAATACATGACAGTCGTTGCATGCCACATTCACTAGACAAATGAATATGTTTAAATATGTTATAGAATTTAAAGCGATTCATTTCAATTTAACACAGCTACCCACACCAATATGTGCATGCAAGCTATAATACATATGTGCTACATATAATATATCTGCATATATACAAATAAGAAAGTTAACTATACTGTGCTGCAGCTTAATGCAACTAAATGACTTGCTGTTGCATGCCACTTGCTACACCGCCAGCAGCAAATATAATAAATAAATTCAAAGCCAAACAACAACAACAAGAACAACAAACTATGGTTATCAAAATAATAACAGCTACCCAACAAAGACTGTAGTAATACCTCGGAAGGCAAGGGTCCGATTCTTGGTCCGACCAATATTCAAAAATTAATATAATTAAAAATTTAGGTTCACTTTTGCTTATTGCGATCACCCTTCGCCAGGTAATGTGAAGCTCTTCGAGTGTAAAAATCCATCGGGCGTTTGGAGGCGGCTTAGTATAAACTGTAGGTCCTTCCATTCGTTGGGGAAAACTATCAAGACCCAAACCACAAATAGGAAAAGGAGCTCGGCTGAACAGCGCACCTGTATTAAATCTACCTATCAAAAAACAGCCCCAAGTAATAGTTTCTTCAAGCATCAGCAGGTAATATGATGCCAATCCTAATAATTTTCTGTCGGATAAGATTCATATTTCACTTCAAAATGAGTTGCTGTAGTTTTAAAAGACACTCTCGTGCTTTTGGCACACTTTGTCGAATATGCGCTCTGAAAAAAGTTCACTTAATTTAAATCCCAGGCCAGACATCATTAACTCAAGCTTAGCAGATGTTTGACTAAATTTTCTCTCGATGACAACAAGTATAAAGCAGCTCGTCTACTTTTTCACTGACCTAAACACCACAAACTCGAGTCGATTCATCATCAATCGTTTCTACTTTACGCAGTTCGATTCCAACAAGAGACACCTACTTAGGTCAGTTACTCTTGCATCTGAACATTGCATTGGAATGAAGGTCTTTCACTTCAGAAATATTTGCTTTCAAAACTGGAATATTTTCATCTATCCGAACAACATGACCTAGCAATCGAGGGCCTAAAGCCATACTCATAAAGCCCTTCAGTTAGTTCTGCACACAATAAGTTAGTTAGAACTTTATATCCCACTGGAGATTGTCCGCGACTTCGGCTTTTTATGAGGTTTTTACAAAGAGCTTAATGTGCTTCAAATATCAGCCAAATCGAACTATGAATAAGATTTTTTTGAACAAATCTACTTTGAACCATCGAATCGGCCCAAGGGGCATTTCCCGGAATAACAAGTGTTAACCAAGTCAATTTAGACAACGAGTTATCTGTGTACCAAATTACATGTAAATCAAACGATTTACAAATAAGCTCGATTTTTTCGAATAGATATGTCCAAGGCCCACCCCACAGGTTTCCAGGTCTCTACGATTAGTGTTTATGCTGTGGGTTCATCCATCAGTCATTC